GGAGAGAGAGAGAGAGAGAGAGAGAGAGAGAGAGAGAGACATCAACCAGAGTCTCTAAAGAAAACGGAGACAGTTGCCAGATGGATCTGATAGACAGTCTAAGCATGACCTTGTTGCTTCTCACCACACAACCTATCACAACTTATCCGGACTCACTCACAAGTTGTAGACTAGATCTAGAATCTAGTAAATTTTGTGGTCTAAATTTTCAAATGTATATTGGGTGATGACAAGTAAAAAAAAAGTGAAGATGAAACAGAAGACATAAAGCCTATAAAGTATACAGATAATAGGCTAAAAAGAAGGCCCTCAACTCCTATGAGGATATTTCTACATCTAGCTTTCTAGTCAGGGAGTGTATACAGACCCGGTAACAAAGTCATGAAGTATACAGACCCGGTAGGGGAAATGTTTTGAAGGAATCGGAAAGTTTCAGCGCCCTCTTGGCTCAGGGTAAACCTAGGTTGTTCTAGATCTATGGCCTAAGTCTAGATCTAGACAGACAAATGGTTGGCAAGAACACCCAATCGGACACTTCCTACAGTGTCGGTCCGCAAAGCAAGTTTCACGCAAAAGATGCTACATTCCATTTGAACCCCAACCCTTGGATAGTGCTATTGTCATTGTGATACTCGCAACTATTCCACCCTGAAGTGTGATCGAAATTACAAACGCAGAGTAACATGGGTAGAAAAAACACCCACTGACTTTCTCTGTCCGGAGTCAAAAAACCTTTAGTTCAGGAATACAAAGGTGTGTTTCGAGGAAGGCAGCCCCATGGAAACTGTCAGTCTGTACATGGTAATGAAGATTACATCACACCATGGAAAAGAATGTGGAGCAATGTCATCAGCAACCTATGGCAGTAAACAACAAACTCCTTGTTGGGGCACCAGACAGCAAAGTTTCGTCAACTGACTTTGGGCTTTTAAAGATAGGTCAAAATCCTCACATAGATCCACAGTTTATAGGTTTGCACTTGCATGCCAAATTTCAGGCTGTAGTTTCAATACTTTCTGTGAAATTCTTCTGCACTAAGAAACAGACCCATTTTTCAGAAAAAATCAACAAATTCACACGTAGTATCCTATTTACCCATGAACTTCCTGCACAGTTACAAAAAAGTGAACAAAAGCCATTTGTTTAGAAATTTTTTTTCCGAGAGTGTATGTCTCCCCTTAATGTACACACAAATTTAATGAATGCATTTTTTTTTAGCTGGGCTTTTCTCTCAGCAAACAAACCAACTATAGCAACCTTACTTTTTCAACACATACCTGACATTCAGGGAGTGGGCCCCCGACTGGGTCAGATTGGGTCCAATTGGGTGTTCTTACTGACCCACAGACAAACATAAAGCATTGATCTAGTTTCGAAGCCTAGATATAAATGAAGATTGCGGATGTCTTTTCGATGAACGATCGTTTTTCCTCCGTTATGGAGTTGGAGGAATCAATAAGACAATTCGAAGAAAAGAACAATGTCATACAATTTCAATTGAGCAGCCACTCTCTCTATTTCTCTGTCTCTCTCCCCCCTCTTTCTCTGTCTCTCTCTCTATCTCCTCTGCGTATCGCTCGCTTTCTCTTTGTTTGTCTCTGTCTTTATTTCTCCCCAACCTACTTTCCCATTCTATCTTTCTCTTGTTCCCTCCTGTCAACTGGAGCATGGGATATTTGCTAGCACTTCCCCCTGTTCTCTACCCCCC